AAAAAAAAAAAAAAAAAAAAAAAAGCTGCACACAAGTATTCTGCGAGCATCCTCCTGTGAAAAAAAAAAAAAAAAAAAAAAAATGCATTAAGTCATCTGTTTTCCAGCAGGCAGGCAGCCGGTTTTGGAAAGGCACTGCTGGCCTCGCTGCGGGGCTGGCGGCATCAAAGGGGACGCTCAGCGGAGCCTGCACAGGGCCGGCTCAGCCCACGGCGGGCTGCGGGCAGCCAGTGCCGGCCGGACGGTGCCTTGGCCCGGGCAGCGCCGGGCCGGCCGGGGCACCCAGCAGCGCTGGCTCCCGCCCCTGCCCGGGGCCGCTCCGCGATGCGGGTCGGTGGGCACACGGCGGGATGGGGTGGAAGGTTGAGCTCAGTGATCTTGGAGGGCTTTTCCAACCTCAGTGATCTTATCGGTCTATAATTTCACCTTCTGCCAAGAAGACCTCGGGCTCCGGGCAGGCAGGGGGCGGCTCGGCGTTGCTGCCCATCCCGCCGGGGGTGGTGACCTCCGGAGCGGGACCCGCACCCCGGCCCTGCGGGGCAGCTGCCCCAGCGGCGGCCGGAGCGGGGGGGACACGGCACCCTCGGCCACCCACCCGGGGAGCCCAGCGGGGCCGCCGCCCCCTCCTCCTCCTCCTCCTCCTCCTCCTCCGCCTCCTCCCTCCAGGCGGGCCGAGCCCCCGCACAGCCGGGGCTGCGCTCCCCGCTCGGCCCCGTCAGACCCACCTGCTGGTACTCGGCGTCGTGCGGTCGGAAGTCGGCGGCGGTGAGCTCCCAGCGCAGGCTGAGGTGCGGCAGGCGGTGCAGCAGGCTCACCCACCAGGGCGGCGAGTAGCTCACGCCCGCCATGCCCGCGCCTGCCTCACCCCGACCCGCCGGCCATGGAGCGCCGCCCGCCTCACCCGCGCCGCGGCCGCCGGCCCCGCATGGCCGGGCGTCCCCCCCGCCGCTGCCCGTGCCTCCCTCCGCCCGCTCCCGCTCCCTCTTTGTTCGCCCAGAGGCTCCGCGCCCGCCCCGGCGCCGCCCGCCCGCTCCCATTGGCGCCGCCGCCGCCGCCGCCCCGCCCCGGCCCGGCCCGCGCGGCTCCCCGGGAGCGCCGCCGGGCCNCCGCCGGGCCCCGACCCGCCGGGCCCCGACCCGCCGGGCCCCGACCCGCCGGGCCCCGACCCGCCGGGCTCGTTCGTTCCCCCACGGAGTTCCTGGTGCCGTGGGTCTCACGCTGCCCTGCAGTCCTACCAGCGGAAGGTGCGTTTTGGGCTTAGCCTAAAAGCCAGCGGGGTAAAAGCGATTCGTGTCGCAGCAAGTGGTAAAGGCGGGCATAAAGTCGCTTTTTGTTGGCTCCTCTCGAGTCCGTCTCAGCGCACATCCTGAGATGCACAGGCAGCAAGTTTGTGCCTTCCTGATTCGCAGTTCTTGGAGGCAGAATGTTATCCGGCACCTCCCGTGGCTGGGCACACACATGGCAAGGGCAGCAACACAGGTGAACATTAAGGAGACGCCTCTCATTGTGTGACAGCACGACGGGAAAAATAATAAAACAATAATTTGAACAAAGTCTTGGAATCTCTCTGAATACCTCAGAAATGAGAGGATACGTCACTTGAGGACATGGTTTAATAGTGAACATGGTCGTGGTGCTGGGTTGATGGTTGGACTTGGTGATCTTGGAGGTCTTTTCCAACCTTAATGACTCTGTGGTGCTGGGCGCAGGGCCACGTGTGGCAGAGGGTGGGTGTCCACACCCAGCACCAAACCAGATCCCACCCCTCACACCAACACCTCCCCCTCCAAAATAACCCCAAAGTGGACCCAAACCACTCAGCACATCCAAGCCCCTGTGCCAATGACCACATCAATGCCTCCATGGCAGCTGAAGCTTGTTCCCCAGCACTGACTGCCCCAGCAGTTGTTTGCCCAAAACTCAGGGGGAAATTTCTGGAGGTACTCAGGTGTCTAAAGACATGGATGCGTCTCTTGAGTGATTCCAAGTCTGCCCTCCACCTGTTCCACAGAGATATGCAGTGCTCTGGTTCAGCTTCCACCCTCTGTAGGCACAGGTTTGGCCTCATCCAAACCCTGACCCAAAGCCAGTGTGTTGCTTCATCAGCTTGAAGGAACCTACAACTCTCAGTTTGTTTTGATGATATCATAAATCAGAACCTGAATATTTCAGCAATGACAGCATCTAACTGCATAACACCACAGAGCTGTGCATGAGGTGGGCTCCTCACAGAACCACTCACACACCACTTTCCCAAGGATAACACTCTCACACAATGGGGAAGGCTTTTCATTTCTTTCTAAACAGAACAGAAAATATTTCTGGGTAAAAGGTAAAAACGATGAGTATACCTTCTCAGGGGATCACGTCAGAAACAAGTAAGTACATAAACATTCTGGATAATGCTAGGATAGTGAGGTAAAACAGAAAAAATAATAAGCAGCAGCTATCCCAAATTCATTCACTTTATTACAAAGATTGTACTGCTCTTGTTGCAACTGAAATGCATTTAAAAAAATTGCTACTTTCTTTTAAAAGGAATATAATGAATAATTTAATTTTTGCTGTAAGTACGCAGCGTGGCCCAGCATTAATGCAGGAGCTCCTAAACTTGGCAGGTCTATTCAGACCATCTCCCAGACCTTCAGTCTCTCCATCCCTGTGCCCCCATCACAGCCCTGCTGCAGCACACCTCACCCACTGCTGATTGCTCAAAGCATTGTCTTTTAAACACCACTCAACATAATTTGGAGTTGGAAAGAGAAAAAAGGACCATCCAGTCCTCTAACAGACTTCAGGCAAATGATTTCCAGGTCTTGAATGCTTGAGAAACTCTCATCTGTTTAGAATTAGAAACTGTGATGGCCCATGAAAACTTAGAAAATATTGGAATGCTGCGTATCCCACTGGAAAAAAAAGGTTAACACCAACAGTTTTTTCTCCTAAAGGGTGGCAATCAGTAGATGTTATGGAGACACTCTTTTGCAAGTGTGATTTTATTCCTTTTCCCAAATGCCACCAGGATTTTGTGCTTTACATTGTCCTGACTGATGCATTTCATAAATAAGGGGACCAAAAATGCTAAAATGGGCCATTTAACCCCTTAGAGCACATAAACATATTTCTGCTGATGTTCTGAAAACTTCAATAGCTTTTGACTAGGACAGGATTTTCATATGAGTATTATCAACACAGCTAAAAAAAAATCTTATCACTCACAAATAGAATTAAGACACACGTCAGAGGGTTTAGAGCCACGCACTGTGTGCACAAGTACAAGGTACACAAGGGTACAAGATACAAGACCTCAACTCCCTCCAGCTTTCTCCAAGAAAAGAGCTGATTTTCTTGCAGGAGGACAGCTAAACTTCAGCCGATTTTATTTTCTTCCTTATTATTTTTGTTTTTTTCACAGTGCTGGCAAGGATAGATGGATGGAAGGAGAAGGAATTATTTCAAGGGCCAATGGTCTAACATATTTCACCTCCAGTTCTAAACCCAAAGACAAGGAGCAGAGAGACCTCACTGGGAGCAAGAGATCTGTGCCTAAGCCCCTTCTGACACAGAGTTTATGCAGCTTGGCACTGAAACACTCAAGGCTGGAATCTGTCCTGCAGCTGTAACCACAGCCACGAGCCTCTGGATGGACACAAAACCTCCAGCAGGCTGCAAGTCCAAGCACCTCTGTCAGCATGAGAGGGACAGGGGATAGAAGATGCAGCCAGGACGCCACACTGAGATCTTGCTTGACAGGGCTGATGTAAATCAAACTGCACAAAAGGTTTTGGAATAAATGACAGGAAAAGCTGGATGCTGTTCCATGGGGGTGGGTGTTTGAGGCACTCTGCAGGGCTGGGGGTGAGTGGGAAAGGGAGCAGTGCTGGTGTGCATGCCTCCCCTCAGCCTCCTGCTGCTGAGACAACTGGATTAAATTAGAGCAGAATGAGGACTGGGGATTACAGAGAAACAGAGGCATCAACAGTTTTCATTTCTCCCCCACAATTATTTATAATGATATGGGAAAATGAAGAGCAGAATGGATTCAGCAAATGAGAAATAAAAGACAAACCACAGGATCCAGCACTAGCCATACTTTCCATGGCATCTCAGCCTGTTGTGCCACATCACAAAGAAATATCTGCAATTCTTGGATGTCTAGCATCTCTCATTTGATCTCATTTGAACTCTTGAGTACATGACAAGACAGTTATCAAGGCTCTCATGTTTAGATTATAGCAGCCTTTCTTTCCTTCCCACACAAATAGGTACACTCTCTTTTGCCAAAGCCAAATGAATAAATGAGACACTGTCCTGACATCCCAGGAATAAAATCTAACAGTAAATCACCCTTGCATGGAAAGCAGTTCTACAGTCGAGCAAAGCAAACTGCAAATGTCAGCCTGTTCACTGGTAATCCTGCTGAAAAATAACCCAAAGAGCAGTATTAGTGTTTGCTAACTTGCCCTGACAGTGGCTTTGCTAAAGAATCAATGGACATAATAGGCAGATGAGAAGTGCTCCACATTAAAGACAGCAAAGATAAAAAGACTAGTTCAAACCTCCAAAATAAGGCAGCCAGTGCTGTCCTCCATCCTCTTGAGACCACCAGGCAGTCTACAAAAGCCCTCCAAGAAATGTAGCATTTTTCACTCTTCACAAGCTTCTGATTCCAGACATCCCTACTGCTGAAGTGGTACTGGCAATGAGAGCACCTTTTAAAACAGCAATCTCCTACCCATTTTTTCTGATTCACTATGAAATTAAATAATTCAGCTTTTAATATCATGTGGAGCAGGGAGTCTTCCCCTGACTGTCAAACCTAATATATGCTCCAAAAGGTTTTAGCCAACAATACAGATTAAAAAAAAAAAAGAAAAAGGCAAGTTTGCACTCCAAGTGCCAGCAGATGGATGAGTTACCCTCTTGAGACAGGGACTAAATTACGGATGGTCATGGGGAGGTCAGGGAGGCAACCCAGCCTTGGCACTCAGCTGCCACTGCTGGGCCACACCTCTGACTCTGCTGCTTCATAAACTCTGTCCTTCCATCCCTCCGTGCTCCTTCCCACTGAGCTAAGCTGTGCCTCCATTAAAATTACCCTTCCTCTCCTCCCAGGGCTTCCTCTGTAATTTTCTGCTCAAAGTCAAAGGAAATAACAAAGCCAGGGCTGCTCTCCAGCCTCCCCCAGACATCGCTGCCCCCTCCATGCCAGTTCTGTCTCCAGCCTTGCTCTCCCAGCACAACCAGGGATCTTCCCAGCTGACTTCTGCTCCCAGCTTGAAGGACTTCCCCTGAGTGGAGGCATCTGCAGGCAGGAACATACATTTGGCTCTTCATGACTTTCCTCTGACATCCTGCCAGGGACTTTCAGGTTTACACAAAAAATAGCCACTACCAGGGCCAGCAAAAAAAGCTTCTAGCCAACTGAAAGAAATAATAAGTTAATTCTCTCATTTCCAGTCCTGAGGCAATATTCTCTCTCTTTCTCATGTTTTACTGGTCTTTTTAAACTGAGTTCTAGGGAAATGGGTGGAAGATGTGGAAATCCTATTGCAAAAGCACCTGCCCGCTCTTTTCCCCAGAGAGCCACACAGAGAACATTCTATTATTTAGTTAATTGCAAAGAAACAATTACAAAGGAACTTGGCAAACTCTCTCTAATCACAGCAAGACCCACTGCAGTCCAGTAAGTTCAGCAAATTAGCAAATAAGTGAACATAAAAAGGAAAGAATAACACAGCTCAAATTGCACTTTGTTCATTTGTTTTGTCACTCTTCATTTCTATTTAATTATTTAAGGTATTTCTTCATAACATTCTGGTACATTTTGTATAATAATGAAGGTTTACTAGCATGGAAAGTGGCTATTAAATATCTGCCGAGAGAGGAAAGAAAACTGCCAATTCTCTGAGTA